TAGTCTTCCATATATGGTATTTTCTATGGCTTTTAACCGCATTGGATGTAACTCCATTTTGCTGGGAGCTGGAAGTCTTACWCGAGACAAAGTAGACCTGCTCAAGACCCTCAACTGCAAAATGATAGTTTACGATCTAACAATGAAAGAATCTCAGAARAAACAGYTGTTTGAAGGAATCGAACAACTAACTCAACACAATGCTGAWAACAACAACGAAAAAACRGTTCTTGTTTCGATGAGTCCTCTGGCTGAAGAATTTAGCAAGAATCAGTGTCATTCCTACGACAGCCTTCTTGTACATGGTCAATCTCAAAGCCTGTCTAAGTTACAAGAAGCTCAAAATCAAGTTCAGTTTGATGACCCTATTGTAGCCACTTTTACGTCAGGAAGCACAGGCATCCCAAAAGTAGTTCAGAATACAATACACTCCATTCGAAACTTTTATGCTGCCTATGAAGACTCTATACAGATTCAATCTCCTGTAACATACATAGATCGACCATTTTCTTGGATAATAGGTTATATAATTTGTCAGTTTGGAGCGTTCTCCAATTCAATACCAGTATGGGTGCCAACTGAAATAGCTCTCTCTGAAACAGCCAATGATGCAGTATTTAAGATCTGGGAGGAAGAAAAATGCACCACGTGTGCTCTTAGCGTCTCTTTGATTCACAAAATGTACACTGAGAAGGTGCACTTAAAATACAACCTGAGCCATGTTAAAGTATTTGTTCTTGGGAGTCAACGCTTCGGCTTTGAACATTTCGCAAAAATATTCACCATGTTTCCTGRTGTCCAAGTTATGAATACATATGGTTGTACCGAGTCACTTAAGATAGCTGGAAAAGTTATGGGTAAGGAATGTTTAGTTGAAGGAAAGTTTGCCAAATTGTCAATATCTTCTGGTGCAGAAGTAAAACTTGTGGATGTCGATGACAAAGTAGTTCCTAGAGRAACCGCAGGCGAAATCTGCGCTAGAAGTTGTAGAGTATTTCTGGAGTACTTGGGCAATCCTGAAGCGACAAAACAGTCCAAATCGCCAACAGGCTGGTTTCGYACTGGRGATATAGGAGTCATGTATGATGATGGCAAKATCGAGGTGCTGGGAAGAAAAACTGAAATAATTAAACGCGCCACAGTCAAGATTTTTCCGGCAGAAATYGAGAATGTTCTTTTACAACACCCAAATGTTGCAGAGGCAGTGGTCGTAGGCATTCCTGATCAACAGGTTCACGAGGAGATATGCGCATGCGTTGTGCTTAAAGACACAGAGGATGGGTCACGTGACGAGAAGACGAAGCTTCAAGAGTTACAAGACTGGTGTAGGGAGCGATGGCCACCAGGACCGGATGGTCTTCATTTAACACCAAAGTATTTTCTTGCGTTGAAAACATTTCCTTTTACGAAGACTGGTAAAGTTTTTACAAGAGAACTTAAAGCTGAAGCAATTAAACGAGTTGGAATGTTGAATTAGATGCAGGCATTGAAATACAATGACCACATAAAATATGATTATTTAGTAATTCTTTCTTCTGTCCTTGNGTACGTGGAGTAGTAACAAATAACTTGACAGCAGTGGGAGGTAGAGAGCCGTCGGAGATGAAAGAGTTGACAGTGTCCTTAACTGTCTTCTGATTGTCAAGGGTAAGATCATTATCAACCTTACAATAAAAATGCTCATCAGAGAGCTGGCGGAGAGCCTCCTGCTTATACAGGTCGGTACGCCAAACAACAACAGCACCCCCTTTGTCGGCGGGCTTAATGACAATGTCAGAACGGTTACGTAAGGAGCGTAGAGCCGCCCATTCGTCCTTAGAAAGATTAGAATAGCTAAGTTGACGTTTGAAGTTGACGTTAGAGATATCACGACGACACTTATTAATAAAAAGATCGAGAGAAGCCAACTCGCCTTCAGGAGGGACCCAGTTAGAACCACTCGGATTAAGACACTGAAATACATCACGTTCACGTTCAAAAGAATAAATGACTTGATTTAATTCTTGTGTATTTAATGTCTCCTGAGTATTGAACTACTTGCCGCCCACCTTCACATGAAAGTCACTCGTGGCCATTGACACACTTCGCTCAAAATGTCCTTTTTCTTGCAATGAAGATATTTATTTGAGTTCATTAAAAAACGTTTACATGCATGGATAAATAGATATATAGTTTGATAAAAATTGTACACAGACTAACCTGCATATAGGATTATATATTGGGTGCATTATGGGTAATATGGTTTTTCACACTAAATAAGATTGCAAAGAATATTAGATTTAAAAACTAAAACAACTTATTGTTAAAAAGTGAAAAAGTTAAAATGATTACGTAACAAACAATCCTTATCATGATTGGTTAAAACTGTTCACGTGGTATCTGATCACGTGATCCCATGGTATCTATGGTGATTCGAAGATTTGTACTTTCTTGTACATGTAYTTCATCTCTACCATGTCATCATTGACTCCATTCCTCTTTTTTATCTTACACAATTTCTCAATACTTCCTACAAGATCCTGCAAAAAATACARTTACGAAATGCATGAGTGTCGTAGAATGAAAACAAAATCTTTGAACAAAGGCAGATTCACTCAATGAGGTCATTGACAATAAGGTCAATGCTCTTAATTTACTAACAAAATTAAACAAATAACTAGATGCTTGTAAAGCGTGATGCGGGCTAGCTTAGCAAAAGATTTTCAATACAAGTTCAAAAAYTCATTAATYATTCATGAGGTATTCAGCCAATCCCTKTTTGTAATTTGTACSACGTGAARTAACTTGAAACCAGAGAAAGTACTCGTACCTTGTATTCTACCTTATTTCCAGTTACTTCTACCTTTTTCCAGTTACTTCTACATTATTTCCAGTTACTTCTACCTTATTTCCAGTTACTTCTACCATGTCTCCAACTACTACTAGCTAATGATAATCAAATTATTAGAAATAATCAGTTTAACATTAATTTAGTGAAAAAAGTTCTTTGATACATGACTCCCTCACGACTCGATCCGCTACCGTCCAGTCTATATGCGCCGTCTTATACCATTACGCCACCGAGTTTCTGATGCGATTCCTCGGAAGATAACATACTTATAAATCTTATGGATTAGACTCATTAGGAATGAATAGCAGACAAAGACAATTTGAATAGCTTTTGTTTCAGAAAGCCGTCCGGGAATTGAAGAACAACAAACGGTGCTTCATGCATTCAAAATTATGAAAACTGAAAACCTTAGTGGAGATGCAATAAATCAATATATTTCTGTTATATGTATTTCCTTCGCTTTTTTTCCCTCCCGAATAATTAATGAGTTTTTGAAGTCGTTCAAAGACCTCCAATTCGGACTTGACGGGATTTCAAAGTCCTTGCAATTAGTTCCAGTCCTCGGTTAGCGCCTCGGACTGGAACTAATTGCGCGGACTTTGAAACCCCGTCAAGTCCTCATTGTCGGCCTTTAAACATTACATAAAATTGTATCTCCAATGAATATTGTGACTATGACGTAACTATATATGAAAGTAAAATATGCCGTAGAATACCTTAGTTTTCTTTGCAGTTCAATTCTTATCGTGCACCGCAATATTCTTTTCTGGAAACTAATCATTAACCTTCACTGTCTGCTATAATCTTATCATATATCAACTATCAACCATAATCTTTTTGCTATAGTGATTGTCCTACATTTGCAATGTATTTTGTAATAATATCTATGCAAGCTCTTTACTTCTTGGTTAGCGATATCACATTATTATTTACATAACAATGCATTTTAGATGACATGGGTGCATTCTTTAAATTTTGTTTTTATTAGCCTTTCTTTCGTACAAAAGATATCTAAAAATTGAAGCAAAACAAAGTTCAATTTCAAAACTTGTACTTTGTCATTTTTAACGTCTAATAAAAAAAACCCGATTATATAAAAGCAATTTCTTTGAACTTGAACAATAAAAACATTGTCATTTACACAGAAAAATACCTTTTGCTGTCTATAAATGTGGAAAAAAGCCAGTATTTCAGCTGATTTCATGTTGAAGCTGTACTGAATAATCATCGAGCTGGACTGGTGAGGAAGGCGAGACTATTTTCGATGCAAAATCGTCTTAAAATGATAACTAGCAAGCTTGAAACTTCACAAATGCAATATCCTAGTTCAATTCTTCAATTGTATATCGCTGTCAATCCCTCCACTCTGGTGGTATCTATTGATATYCTTTCTTCCTGKATCAAAGCAATCTTTGACTGGAACACTGTTAACAGACTAATCGTGGTAAAACTGATGTTCTTTGTCTATCGTCACGTTTTGTTAAACAGCCATCAGCTCTAAAGCAACTCTACGTTGCCAACGTTCCTGTGAACATTAAACCAATGATCCGTAACCTTGGTGTTTACATGGACACTAATTTTACTCTAGCTGATCACATCAAACACATCTCTAAGAAAGCTTTCTTCTTCATTAACGCCATCGGTTGCATTAGGAAATACTTATCAATGSACTCTCTGAAGCGTCTTGTCAATGCATTGGTTCTTTCACATCTCGATTTTTGCAACAGCCTACTGTTTGGATTACCATTTTCTGAACTTTCAAAACTTCAGAGAATACAGAACACTGCTGCAAGATTGATTACAGGTGCCAAAAAAAGAGACCACATTACTGCAGTCCTTCACGATCTCCACTGGTTGCCGATACATGCTAGGCTTGAATTCAAGATCCTACTACTCACCTATAAATGCCTCCATAACCAAGCTCCGTTATACTTGTTTGTTTGATCTCATCAAACCTTACAAACCTACCCGGAAACTACGCYCTCCTACAAAGTCTCTACTACAGTCAAACTATTGTCCTAACACTCAGTACTATGATGAAAGATCTTTTTCAATTTCTGCTCCTAAACTATGGAACATCMTACCTGAATATATTAAAACTTCTCCGTCTGTTGACAGTTTCAAATCTAGCCTAAAGACATTTTTATTTAGACGTCATTTTTATACTAATTTATATTTATTTCTGTTCATTGTTAACGCAATGAGATTTTATAATTGCGTCCTAAAAACTTTTATTATTCATTATTATTATTCTTAAAGATCTACATTGGTTGCCAGTCCGTGCACGTATTGAGTTTAAATTGCTACTAATTATATAGTTATAAATGGCTTAGCTCCAAAGTATCTTTCGGAGTTGATAAAAGCTCAGCCAAAATCAAGGTATGACCTACGTAGAAACGAGAATGGAATCCTTCTATCTCGATGTACCTTAAATACCAAAAAACTATGGGTGATAGYTTTTGAAGTCGCTGCTCCAGCATTGTGGAACAAACTACCTATTAACATCAGACAATCAACGTCCATTGACAAGAAGCAGCTGAAGATACATATCATTTTTAGTTATCTTTCATATTTTAATGATTATGTCTATTATTATAGTTTATTATATATACATATATTCCTTGTAGTTATGCGTGTATGTGAATATTTATTCAATATCATTTTTTAGTTTATCTTTTATATTTCTACAATTATGTCTATTATTATATTTTATTATATGTATACTATCTTGTAGTTATGCACATGTGAATATTTTATAGAACATGCGCAATAGAAATATCAAATATTATTTTTATTTTTATTTYTTTTTAAACTCGATGTATTCATTGAACTTATTAGTGATTTACCGATCAGCACTCTGAAAGCTTATCTCTCTTACGAAGAGGAAACGACACCAAATCAAAACCAAATCATCACTGAATATTATAAGAACATGGAAGTATATTCTAAAAAAGATGATCTTCTCATATACAACAGCTTTCGCGCTATGCGGTTTTAAAACCTGTATAGCCATGATAGCCTTATTAGCGCTTTTTCAAACAACTTGGTAAACTTTATGCTAATGACAATCGGTTAACAAAAATCCACCTGTAGGCAATATGGCGCCATTTTACTATGACTATATAAATACTATGCTTGTTTTCAATGACTTGTAATCGAAATTCACTGTATAACAACAATTCTCACCTGATCAGAAGACAAGCCCTTAGATTTAGATCTCAATAGACTATCGTCTGTCTGTAGAGCCGACTGCAAAAGTGCTTCATAAGTCACTGGTTTGCTGCTTGCAAGTAGTATCAGGGTGTCGAAAGTCAAGTCGGGTTCCTTTTCAGTAAGATCTGGTTCCTCCATGGCTCGTAAGCAGTCTCCCGGGAGAAAGACATGCTGGATATCTACAACTGTATCACCTGCAGGAAGAGGTGTCGTGCCTCCCTTAAGAAACAAACAACAGCCAATCAATCAAACAAATTGTTGACCGATTTTACATGATCAAGGGGAGGACCACCTAGATTCATGATGACCTAAAGTTTGTGCCTGGATCGTTTACTCGAGGGAAGTACAAACTAGACCAACCACAACCAACTTGACCTTGTAGCATAGCTGATAGTACAAATCCGAGGGTCGTGGGTTCGAATCCCAGCGAGGTCGGAAATTAAGGGCCTTTCTCCCGGAATAACCACCTTCCTAGCACTATAACTTTCCTTTATTTCTATATCATGTTTGTCAGTGTCATTCGGTCCTTGCATTCATACCAACCACAAATAGATTATCTCAGTCAAACGTTCATCATTTGTATACCAAGGGTTAGGGTTACTTACCTCTTTCGGCGGATAAATGGCTTTAATTTCCCCATCACATTGACACAGGATGACACATATGTGAACTTGATCGGTTTTATTTTCGTTTTTAACTTGGTATATGAACGAATCACCGGTGCCATACTCAATTGATCGGCCTTTTGGTTTATGAGCCTTCAAAATAATTCTTCGATCATTTTCTGAAACGAAAAAAATCAACAATCATTTCTGCCTCTACTTCATCCAGACTCCGCGGTCCCTGACAGGGTTTGTCCTATCTCAACTGGAAGCTCAAGTTGCACCCCTTATTACTGATATTGCCGCCATCTTTAGCCCCGTGTTAAAGTGATAGGTTACTACGCGTTTTTGAATATGGCGCTATGGCCTCAAGCCATTGGATGCTCCTCTCGAGAGCACATTATACCATATGTCAGCCTTGTGCCTCGTTTTGTGGTGATCGCGAGGTATAATAGTTGAGTGTCCAACACAAAGAGATTGCTAACATGGTTTACTTTTGAACAAGACATTTTTCTGAGCCAACAGAGTCTAGGAATTAAGGCAGAAAATGCGAAAAAGGATTGTGAAATCAATGGTATTACCTTTAGTAATCTCAACAGTGGACGCTTTCTCCAGTTCCTTAGTAATCATCTCTTCTTTTCTACTTGGCCTCCATCTCGTTACTTCTTTTGCCTTAAACACCTTGAAACTCACATTTTCGAGCAGGAGGTTTTCGTTTTTTGGTGGATATGCAATGYCTTGCACTAATTGATATTTTGTGTATCTTTGTAGGTTTTTGACCATGATGATTTCTTGATTGATGCCGGCACTGATCGGCGGTACGAAGATTTTACCTCCTTTACGAGCAACCCAACATGATTTGCTATAAAAAAAGCAATATGAATGCACGAATGAGTATGAATATGTAGATACATTATATACATATTTCAGCATTGATTTGAATGGAGATAAGACTGAGCATAACGAAATGGATTATGAGAAGAGGATAGAAATTGGATAGGATAAAGATGGGTAATAGAAAGTGAATGGRATAAGAATGTAAGCCGTATTAGAATAAAGATGAAAATAAAACCGAATTACAATTTGTCACCTTTCAATGGTCTCACAGGTAATGGTAATCAAGTGTGGGTTAACCACTTTTGGAAGATTTCTGAAGACATTAAACATGCGAGTATCCTTCAGCTCTTTGACCAGAATCTCTCGATTTTTCTCGTGCACAGAGTCTGGTGTAATATAGACGCTTTCACTGAACGAGTCTGGTGATTCAAGATACGCAAGACAACCACACTGAAAAAAAGCCATTTTGCTCAGCATACGTAGTGAACAGAACCGCTGAACGACTGAATTGATGGCAGGTTATTTTAATACCCTTATAAAACTTATTAATAATGCATAAGCTATTGCTCCAATAAGGGCTGACCATTTAATCAGGTGATTGACCTTGTAAATCTGATACAACCACTAGTGTTGTATCAGATTTACAACACGGTCGTCACCATTGAGACAACCCAACACTAGCAAAGGTCTCAGTTTTAGTGTCGCATCATAGACCTTCACTAGGTTTTGAAGCAATCAAAGACGGATAACAGAACTCGCTTATGCAACAGATGGCTTGCTTTCCATGTGGGATGGATAATTATTCAAAATGTTCTGTGTTGTAGTAAATTGCGCATGCTTAATAGGGACTAAACTCAGCAGTTACCTTATTTGTCATTTTTCGTCATTTATCTCACTGTAATTCATGTTAATTTGTGTTGGAGTTTTATAAGTCGTTTACAACATTCGCGTCCGTGTTGTATGGGAATTACAATCTCTCGCCTGCGGCTCGAGATTGTAATTCCCATACAACACGGCCGCTCATGTTGTAAACTATACTTAAAATTTGTATTAATGATAATCATAAAAAAAATTAATAAAGAGGAGGTATAACCTAATTTAAATATCTAATTGAAAAAACAACGATCCGTCTAAGATTCACTTTGCTCTTGACCAACAAAATTACTTACCAAGTTACCAATTCTAAATTACTTAACGTTCGCCCAAGGATACGGAATCCAGAGTTCGAAAATGGTTTTCCGGGATCCTCAAGCTTGGAACCATAAATTCGCGGTAATTGAAACGAAGTCCGATAAAACGAGACGACTACGCAATCAAAATTAGTGACATGAAATGTTTCCTGATTGTATACGAGTCACTAGCAACAAAAACAGGCTACGCTGCTTTGAGAAGTTCATGGAATCCGTGAGAACTCGACATTCCGTGTCATGGGCGATAAAGTGCCCTTTAATCTACGTATAGAGTACTTACAGTGATCGTACAGTGAAGGCTACGTATGGAGTACTTACAGTGGTCGTACGGTAAAGGCTACGTATGGAGTACTTACAGTGATCGTACGGTAAAGGCTACGTATAGAGTACTTACAGTGATCGTACGGTAAAGGCTACGTATGGAGTACTTACAGTGATCGTACGGTAAAGGCTACGTATAGAGTACTTACAGTGATCGTACGGTAAAGGCTACGTATGGAGTACTTACAGTGATCGTACGGTAAAGGCTACGTATAGAGTACTTACAGTGATCGTACGGTAAAGGCTACGTATGGAGTACTTACAGTGATCGTACGGTAAAGGCTACGTATAGA